TTTTAGTTGGGGGCTGAAGGTGACGGCTAGTGGCGTTCTGTTATTTTCTTTGTTAGGCCTGTCCTGTAGTAGGTGACTTCTGGGAACTCTTCTGGCTCTATCAATCTGTTTCTTCACTTCCGCAGGTGGTATTGTAGTTGTAAGAATGCTTGATAGAGATCTTGTAGGTGTTAGTCTCTGTCTGAGGGGTTGGAGCAAATGCGGTTGTATCGTAGAGCTTGGCTGTAGACGATGGATCGTGTGGTGTGGTCTGGGTGAAAGCTGGAGGCATGTAGGTAGGTAGGAATGGCGGTCAGTAGGTTTCCGGTATAGGGTGGTGTTCATGTGACCATCGCTTATTAGCACCGTAGTGTCCAGGAAGTGGATCTCTTGTGTGGACCGGTCCAGGCTGAGGTTGATGGTGGGGCGGAAATTGTTGAAATCATGGTGGAATTCCTCAAGGGCTTCTTTTCCATGGGTCCAGATGATGAAGATATCATCAATATAGCGCAAATAGAGTAGGGGCATTAGGGGATGAGAGCTGAGGAAGCGTTGTTCTAAGTCAGCCATAAAAATGTTGGCATACTGTGGGGCCATGCGGGTACCCATAGCAGTGCCGCTGATGTTATAGCAGTCTTGGATGATGCTCAGCACATGTTCATTTTAAGAACAAGTTTTTTCATGAAGTTGATAGATTTCCACTCCATACGACTAAATTAGGTGCCTTGCATAATGACAGGTTTCAGAGTGAAACTGCTACTCTGAAACCATTTTAAGAACACTTTCACTGCAGGTTTGACAAAACGAAAAGAAGGTACCAATGTGAGATTTCTAAAGATAGCTACAGCACTCAACCCAAGGTTTAAGAATCTGAAGTGCCTTCCAAAATCTGAGAGGGACGAGGTGTGGAGTATGCTTTCAGAAGTCTTAAAAGAACAACATTCCAATGAGGAAACTATAGAACCCAAACCACCAAAAAAGAAAATCAACCTTCTACAGGTGGCTTCTGTCTCAGATAATGAAAATGAACATGCCTCGGTCTGCACTGCTTTGCACATTTATCGAGCAGAACCGGTTATCAGCCTGAACACGTCCTCTGGAATGGTGGCTGAAGCATGAAGGAACGTATGAATGTTTAACATATCTGGCACGTAAATATCTTGCGACGCCAGCTACAACAGTGCCATGCGAACGCCTGTTTTCACTCTCAGGTGACAGTGTAAACAAGAAGCGGGCAGCATGATCTTCTCCAAATGTAAACAAACTTCTCTGGGCGATTGGCTGAACAAGAAGTAAGACTGAGTGGATTTGTAGGATCTAAGGTTTTACATTGTTTTATTTTTGAATGCAGTTTTGGTTTTGTACATAATTCTACATGTGTAAGTTCAACTTTCATGATAAAGAGATTGCACTCAGTACTTGTATTAGGTGAATTGAAAAATACTATTTATTTTGCTTTTTATACGCCAAATATTTGTAATAAAAATAAATATAAAGTGAGCACTGTACACTTTGTATTCTGTGTTGTAATTTAAATCAATATATTTGAAAATGTAGAAAACATCCACAAATATTTAAATAAATGGTATTCTATTATTAACAGAATGATTAATTCTGTGATTAATCACAATTAATTATTTTAATCGCTTGACAGCCCTAGTAGAAATCAATGGGACTACTCACTAAGTGGCCCAGTTCTGCCACCCTTATTCACTGTTAGGTAGTACCTTCCTGTGCAAGTAGTCCACTTGGGTGAAAGGACTTGGTCAGTGTAAGGGAGACAGAATCAGGCTGTGTAAGGAGCTGCCAGATTAAAGTCTTATTACACAGCTCTCTTATTCACTGGTCACTCATCATTTCAATGTGCTTCCTTTTGGCCATCTCTTAACACTCCTTCTCTCACACTGATTTTACAGTGGTATAACTCCATTGACTTCATCTGAATTACCTAATTTACACTTGTGTGAACCAGAGAAAAATCTGGCCCACAGGAATGCAAACCTGTTTCATTGACTGACAGAGCTGGACTCAAGGCTATATTAGAAATGACATGCATTGAATATCTCAGGATAGAGACCACTCGACTCTCAAATGATATTGCTTTCATTGTTCTCAGTTGTCCTTGAATCTGAATTCATGTGGAACCTTAAATTATTTGTAAAGCTTTTGTTTTTAAGATTTTGGTTTGACATTGGTATAATGTGCAACATCACTCTGGTTACAGCATATGGTGTTGTGGAGATAGAGGATCATTGTTACAATAAAATTTAGGATATTAGGTCTGTTCACAGTTTCTGAATGTTTTGAAAGATGGTTTTTTAAAATTTTTTTAGCTCTACAATACTGTCTCCTTAGTTTTACAACAGGTTCCATCTTCAATCAATTTTTATGAATTTGGCTGATCATAAATCCTAATATTGTTATGATGGGCTCAGTTGTCCATAGTGTAACTGCACTAGAGTCAGCAGAGATATTCCAGAGACCAAACTGGCTCATTATCTGGAAATTTAGACTAAGGCACTGAGCTTGGTTCATGATTAATAAACAAAATACAGTATGTTGATACAGACATTTGCACCAGGCTTTCTACTTTATTTGAGTCCAGGTGGTGACATCATGAACCAAATTCATCTCTGTGTTAGCTCCACTGAAGCCGTGGTGTTGCTTTATAGATAAGTTTTTATTCACTTGTGTCTGGTCTATGAAATTTTACTGTGGCTGAACAGGGAAGTCATCAATCATGTTAAGGGACATGATGCTGAAAAAAAGGGTTGGTCAGTGTAGAACAGGACAAATTCTGTACAGCATCATGTCAGCTAACTATTTAAACCCTCACTGTGATTAAACCCCTAGTCTAGCAGGAAGGGGGAACAAGTGGCTTCTCACAGGACTTTAATCACAGTTAGCAGATGCGATCTAAATGTGGTTTATCCTGCTTTGTGCTGAGCACTATCCTGCAGAGCATTGGGAGAAAGGAGAGATGCAGCAGAGATGGCATTGCACTACATAGCAATCTGACACCTGATCAGGAATGGACACTAATGACAAACAGACACGGGCCAAAACCACAGCGTAACCTTTGAAGATACATAAGGGGTCTCTTTATACACTTTGACCAAGCTTGTATAACATATTGTGCCAATAAAGTCTCATTAAATTTTGTCAGTAAAAACAATTGTTGTTAACTGTATTCAGATACAGTAATATCTTGCAGGGTAGCCTACACTCTGCTGAATGACCACATCAAGCATCACTGAAGTGTTTGGAAGGCCAAATTCTGATATAACCCTTCTTTGTTTAGTGGTGGAGATTATATATAGTATTTCTAGCACTGTATAGTATTTCTATCAACCTAGAACTACTCTGTTGTCTTTGAGCTGTATCTGTTAACTTTTCTCACTAATCTCTGTCCCCTCATTACCACTTTTTCTTGTTTAATGAAATTGGAGCAAGGATAAATATGGACCCCCAGAAAATGTCATTTTTATGGCATTTTTTCTAAATGTATTTACACTTTAAAACACATAATAAAATAAAGATCACATTTATTCCCCTGTGCCTGAAATCAACAATACATGATTAATACAAATTTGCCTAATGAAAATGCACCAAAGCAATTGTGCTCAATAATGAATAATCCATGGTAGCTGATTAGAGCTGGGTGAGGACTGAAACAACAAATTCTATGAATATTCTTTTGAATTTTTAAACAAATTGTCTTCTGTTATGTTCATTCCCATTTATTTATTATGAATTATTCACCTAGCTCTTGGGAGGATGAAGGGTAATTGGTTTTGCAGGCACTGAGTGAGACTTCACCATTCCTTCTGAATTGTGTTATAATGGTTATTTATTTACTTGTATTACAGAAGCACCCAGAGGCTTTGATGTGGACTCCATGGTGGTAGGCACTGTACAACAGAGTAAAAGTCCCTTTCCTGAAGAGGTTACTATCTAAAACAGGATTGTCAAAGAGTGGTGGATAAGGGATGTGATATATACCCTGTGTAATCAGAGATGGGTGACAAATTTAATAGTAGTTCCATAGGGTTGATATATACAAATAAACCCCTACCTTCCCCACCCACATAAATAAGGGGGTGGGATGAGCAGGGAAGTGTAGGGGATGAGTTCATTGGAGCACAGGAATACAAAAAGAAGTAATGACTGAGGGAGAGGGAAGGAAGATGAAATGCTGACAGAACTGGCAGAGAAAAAACAGCTAGAGTCAAAACAGAAGAAAGTAGTCTGACACCACTGCTCCTGCAAGCTTTATTCTCTGCTAGTCCATGGGGCTTGGGGCTACAGGCCCACTTAAGTGTGTCTCCCCTGTTGGACCAGGTTCAGGAGGGATGGGGAATAAGTGGTCTTAGTCACCTCAGGGATGCTGGAACAATTTTTAGTGTGTGTGGGGGGGGATGGGGGTTGCTGAGAGCCATTGAACCAAATGGTAAACCCTGTATATGATGGAAACCACTTCAACCCAGAAGTTGCAGCAGCACTCCTAGTTCCAGCACTTATGCCACCACCCTTCTTCCTGCCAGCCTGCGACCTCAGGAAAACACCTCTGCTGCTGGGGGAGAGCTCCCCAGTGCCCCTGGCTGTGGGAGAGGGGCAGGCCACAAGGGGCCTCTTGCCCCAGCTTGTTGGATCAGCAAGAAGGTCCCCTCTGTTGGTCTAGGGAGAAGGCAGGGCCCTGACTGGACTGCAGTCCCGAGTCCCCCTTGGCCAGCTCCCCCTTCCCTCTCACAGCTCCTAGGGGTGAGGAGTATGTTTACGCCAGTGGCTGGGTGCACCCCCTGCTGCCATGAGTGTAGGGGGACCTGCTGACGTGCTGGAGCCGAAGTGCCCCCGCCTGGGGCTTTGAAGCGCTGCTGCCCCCTTGCGGATCCTGGTATTTTTCCCCCCTTCCCACCTGAGAAATTGCTTTATAAATATTGTCTCTCTCCCGCCCCCGTACTACCTGGCTTCGTGCCAGCCCGGTAGCTCTAGGTGACGGTTTCCCCCCTCGTGCCGGTCGGCCGTTAGCCCTGTGCACGACCGACCCGGGCTGGGTCGCGGGACTCTTGCATCGAGCGCCGTGTGGCGCCAGTAACCTCTGCGCCAGAGGGAGCGTCTTGGTGGCGGCGGCTGTCTCTGTTGCACATGCCGTTTGACTGCCAGCCTTGGACCGCGCTGGGCAGCTGCCTCCGCTCCGCCTCTGCTGGGTGCCTTTGCCCTGGGCGGCGCCGGCTGTTTTGACACCCCCAGCTTAACAGCAGCAGCCGGCAGCGGCGGAGCAAAGGACGTGTGGCAGGCGGCGTGTCTGTCTGGGGCCGGGAGCAGCGGCGGCGGCGGCGGCGAGGGGAGGGTCTGCGGCTTGGCGTAGCTGCAGCAGCCGTCTCGGCCTCTCTGGGAGTGATCGTGTGTGCGCGCCTCCAGTCTCCGCCGCTCGCCGAGCTGCTCCTGCCACCGCTGGTGACTGTTGTTGTCGCTCTCTTCTCCCCGGCTCAGACAGCCCAGCACGGCCAGGGGTGGAGGGGCAGGAATGTGAACGGGTTTTGTGGGGGTGTGTGTGTGTGTGTGTCTCAGTCACCCCCGCCACCACCAGCATCCTCATCAGCTGGATCTATTGTCAGGAAAGGAGGAAATTGCAGTCAAGCAGAAGCAGCAGCAACATCTGGGCTGTCACATCTGGGCATGCAACATCGGCTTCCTCCTCCTCTTCTTCCTTCACCCGAGTGGATCACTTTGGGGGTGGAAATACTTCTGCAGTCAAGCCAGAGGTTCCATCTTATAGCTGAATATTGAAACTGGAAGAGAGGGGGGTGGGCTGGGGATAAAGGCTGCTTCCCCCCCCCTTTGGGATTTATTTCATGGGGATGTGTTCAAGACAAGAGAGGATTCAGAAGGATATTGACGTTGTGATTCAAAAGTGCAAGGCGGAGAAGGACTGCCTGTTTACAGGTGAGTTTTCCGGCTGGGCTCCAGGTTACCAGCTGCCACTCTCTTCCCCTCCCTCTCTGCCTGCTTCAGACGTTTCCCTAGCGCGACATGTTTGGTTGGGGTTCCCTTGTCCCATTTCTGCTGTCATTTTGCAACAGTTACAGTGACGATCGCTGACCCTTAAGTCTTCGTGTGTATGTGTGTGAAATAGGTCTCCTTCCTTTCCTCCCCCCCCCCCCCAACACACTGGCAAGAGAAGACAGAACAGGTACTGTATGAGAAAACAGATACAGAAGTGGAATGTATCTAAGCACAGGGAGGAATGCAATACACACAGAGAGAGCAATTTATCTGTTCTTAGCATCTGCTACCACGACAGTCCTCAGATCAGAGGGAGCCCCTCAGCCCACGGTCGTTTTTAATGCAAGACTTTCGGTTTGGAGCCGAGTTGTTTTGCGCAGTTGGCGGTGGTGGTAGAATACAGCCCGCTTTGTAGCTGCTCAGGTTAGGTCGTTGCCATTTGGGGCTGCTTAGCTCTTGCTGTAGGGGAAATTAGATTTTTTTTTTTGTCATCTAGTTCCCTAAATGCATTGATCCAGAGCTGGAATATTAGCAGTCATAAATGAGTCCTTTCCGTGCAAAGCCTTGGTGTTTGCTTGTTGCTTTATGGTTTTCACTATTTACAGTATTTGATTTGCCAGAGCTGCCTGGCTTGTTGCTGCCTGTTGCCTTCACTGACAATGGAAATTCCAGCCGTTGCCATAGCACCAGGGCACTTGTTGCAAAGGGGAGGGGGGGTTCCCTGCTGCAGGGTGCTCTGATGGATGTTAACCCCCCTACCAGTAGCAGAATGAGGGTGGGTGAGACTTCAGCTATTTTAGACAAAACCAAAGAACTAGAAATGATCACTGATAATAATGCAATTCTTTGTATTTTAGATTTCAGGTACTCAGACTCCACCTTCACCTTCACCTATATTGGAGGCGCCAAAAGGTACTTCTCTGTAATAATGAGTTACTTCATTTCCCATTCACTGGCTAGTGTCTCTCTTTTTTTTAATTGTTGAATAGTAATTTCTTTTTCTTTTGCAATGAAAGCAAATGATTAACATCCAGTGGGACATAATTAACTAGAGAGAGAGTGTTGGGTCTGAGCAGGTGATCTATGAGGTGATCCCATTCATCAGAGACTTATTCATCAGAGTTTTCCCTCTGTGTAATTTGTGTGTCTTGATATTCAGTCTACAAAGATAAGTAAAATTAGTGCCTGGTGCAAATGGTATAGAAAAACAAAAACCATTGAATGCAAGATGTTTAAAAAAACTGACTATAAGAACTAATAAAGAAGAATAGGCCAAATTTTACTCTTACACCAGAGTAACACAGAGAGACCAGAATTTGATGCTAATAGATGCAAATCATTTTGCAATAGAACAAATTAACAGTATAGAGGAATTAAATGAAAATGTCAATAAAGTTTATGATGCAGATAATCATTTAAACAACCAAATATAAATCTAAATATTGCTTGTAAGCACACTTTAGTATATTCACAAATTCGGGTGTATATGTAAATGGATACTCATTTTTATTATTTGCATAGGGGGTTGCAATTTATATCACTTCTTCAGTTGCATTTCATTGCTTGTGTTATATCGTTAGCCTGGATTCTGCATACCTGTCTGTTTTCAAAGTAACTCAGTTTTTTAAAAAAATTCCTGTTGGTGAATGGATTTTTTCCCAGCTGTTTGTTTAGTTTGTGAATTGCTATTGTATTTGTGTTCATATTAAGCCAAATAATAAAGTATAGCTAGGTTTAGTAGAATTTATTTTTTAAAAATAATTCTGATATAATCAATATTTATTTTTAAGCATTTTCCATTTTTATTGATTTTAAATTTTCACAGTTGTAGGAAATTATGGGGGGAGTGTAAAACAGTAATTAATGCTAGTAGATATTGAGATTCAGATTACAATATCACATGTCAAAATATACGAAGTAAATATTTTTAAATCAAACTAATAAATTTTCAAGCACAATTTTACTTACTTTGCCTATATATAGAGAGAGTTCAGTTATTAACTATGGGAATATTTTTCATGGGTTTGTGTGTGTATGGTGAAATTGACATTCACTGACATTTACTTATAAAACTATAATCCTAATCCAAGACTAAATATAGTTTATCAGGTTTAAAAAGAAGTCTCTTGATTTAGATAGCTTCAACAGTTCACTATCTTTGGTGCTTACTTTTTTCAGGCCACCTCAGTTTAAAAGGGAATGGATCATTAGGAGTTATAGGCCTCTATCCTGCAAGATGAACTTCGCAGGTGGATACCTACATCTGAACAGGACACTGTTGACACCAGTGGGTTCTGTGCAGTTTCATGGATCCACCTGCCCAGGTCAGCTTGTAGGATCAGGACCATAACTGGTAAATGGGTTTGCAGTTTGTTCAAAAAATACTTTTGTCACATTAATGACCTCCACATGCTACTACTGAAGGGGGTGGCAAAACTTCCTGTTATTAAGGGGACCATTATCCTGTGCCTAATGGTTTAGAATTAGAGATATTCTCAGGTTGCTTAAGGCCCAGATAAAGGGGTTTTAAAATTTTCTTTTGCTTTAAACAAAGTTTTTATAAGATGTAATATGAGCATGAAATTATTATTCTTTAATTAAAGGATACAGTCGTTCGGATTTAAACATTCCCATGCAGTGTTTGCAAGCCAAATGTTTCAGCATGGAACCGGGAAGTGAAACAGACTGCTGTTTCCATTGTCCAAACTGAGTGCAGTAAAAATGTAACAAAGCGTAACTAGTGGAAAGTAAGCTGCATTGTTAAAAAAATGCTTTCACTTTTACTAATCAGATCTGGAATTTAGAACACATAGTGGAGTCTTACTGGACGGGTCACTGAGAACCAGTTTCAGGATCTGGAAAATTCAAATTGAATTTAAAATCTCATGTTATACCTTGAGAAGATGATACAAATAGGTTTCCATAGTGCATGTTCAAATTTTACATTCCTTCTGACATTTAAAGGACACTTAAAAATAATCAATAGCTTAAAATAAGGGATTCATACTGACTTCTCATCTTTCCTGTGGGTTTTCCCCCCCAATCTTTCAGAATATCCATAGTACACAGAGGTGCACTGGCAGCTGAGTTTTCTGTTTGCTTTCTTTTTGTATAAAGTGCAAAGCATTAAGGGCCAAATTCTGATTCCCATGCCAAAGCTGAGTAAACGAGTTTCATGCAGGGAAACGATGCATGGCTGCAGAGGATGTAATACTTCCACATGTAACCCAAAGCCAGAGCTCAAATCAGCTGTGCAGCCACTAATGCAGACTCTGTAGAGGGCTGTAATAGTGGCCTTCTGTGTATTCCCTACTTGGGAGTGTATCCCCTCCAAGTTAAAACTGGGTTTATTGGGCATTCCCCTCCCTGAGCTTGGCCACCAACCCCATCCCTGTCCACAGTACAGCAGCTATAGGTTCCCTGCCACCCACTGGCAATTCTTCTGTGGTTTGAGTACTGTTGGCAGGAATTGCCCCTAAATGACAAACTTTATTAGCTCATGGTACATAGCAGCTTGTAGAATAAGTATCAGGTGATACTCCTGATATTATCACCTCAGATACTTGCAATTGTCTGATTTTATATCTTTTGTGCTGGCACTGCTGCATGGTTTCAAGAAATGGGACAAGGGATGTACTCTGGGCTTTTTTACTGAGAAATAAATTTTAATGGCTAAGTCATGGATCAGTTGGTAAGGAAGATTACAAGATGCTATCTGTAGCCACATTTTGCAATTCTATCCTTTAGTGCTTTATTTCCCTTAGCTATTTTTTAGCGAGCCCTGGAAACTCAAAGCTAGTGTACAGTATGGTTTTACTTTGTCTACAGTGCAAGAGCAAAATACATGAAACAAGAAAATATGTTTTATGTCTGATGCTAAGTAGAGTATTTTTTGTTTAACTGATTGATGACCTTTTTCTAGGACTACTCCCCCTTATGTAAAGGCTGGCCTATAAAATCATCAGGTTAAACGGACCTAGGGATTTCTTCTGCATATCATTTGTGTCCATTAGGCATATTAAGTCTACTTACTAGTGGTCTTAACTTCTGCACTCAGAGCCAGATTCTCAGCTGCTATAAATCAATGTAATTCCACGAAAGTTAGTGTACATTGCTTCATTGCTAGCTGAAGTTCTGGACCTTGGTTTTCTTTTCTTTTCTTTTTTTTTTTTTAAAACTGTTCTAAGGTTCATATTTGTGAGTTTTTTCTACTTAGGGAGAGATTTTCCCAATTTAACTGCATTGTACCCTTTCTTCTTGGACTTGCACTGCCCCATCACATGTTACTAGTTCTCAGTGTGCTGCTGGAAAGAGCCAGGAGGCACACTACCTATCTCAGGTCCTCGTCCTGATACCACTTACACTGCTTTTACACTGATTTCAGTTGAGTTATTTTTAATTCTCACTTGTGTGCAAGTATAGAATCAGGCCCTGTGGGCATGATCTTGCTATCATTCTACATACAGAGCAATTCCAGCATATGTCTCTGTAAACTATATTGAGCTGCTATATTATTTATACCAGTGGTTCTCAACCAGGGGTACACAGAGGTCTTCCAGGGGGTACATAAACGTATCTAGATATTTGCCTAGTTTTGCAACAGGCTATATAAAAAGCTCTAGCAAAGTCAGTAAAAACTAAAATTTCATACAGACAATGACTTATTTATACTGCTCTATATAATATACACTGAAATGAAAGCACAGTATTTATATTCAAATTGATTTATTTTATAATTATATGGTAAATGGGAAAGTAAGCAATTTTTCAGTAATAGTGTGCTGTGACACTTTTGTGTTAAGCAAGGAGTTTTTAAGTGAGGTGAAACTTGGGGGTACACAAGACAAATCAGACTCCTGAAAGGGGTACAGGAGTCTGGAAAGGTTAAGAGTCACTGATTTACACAATATGAGACTAGTTTTAGGCTAGGCATAAATATGACTACAGTGGACTGGCCAGCCATTTGAATGAATTCTCTTGAAAAGTTACAGGAGGGGGAAAACATTTCTTTAAGAACAAACATATTTCTATTGCATGGATTATCATAAATAATCCTTTCCCTGTGAAGCACGAACAATCATTTTGGTCTCTGCTTGGGCAACACTTCATTTTTCTAAAATGAACTGTGTTCACATCACATTTCTAAATTATTAGTTTTTTTGACAGTTCTGGGGTGCTTGCCGGTTTTGAAATCCTGTGTGACAAAGTTCCTCCTCTGCCTCGGTGGGTCCTGCGCTTATTGGTGGATTTTGTTTGCCTCAGAGGTTCACAGCAGCCCTCAGTTTGGCCACTCTCATGGCTCAAATCTGCCGTTCACTCAGTTAGCCTCATCACTGGCCAGGATGGGGGAAAGGATGAAGAACAATCTCTGCAGTCTCTGCTGATCCACCTAGTGGATCGGGGAACAGGCCAGAGACCTTCCCCACTGGTGGAACCCACAGTCCCGGTCAAATCCTCTGGTATCAAGTATGGAGTTGGGGGGATAGGAGGAACCCGGGTCCACCCTCTACTCCGGGTTCCGGCCCAGGGCCCTGTGGATTGCAGCTGTCTGCAGTGGCTCCTGTAACAGCTGCGTGACAGCTACAACTCCCTGGGCTACTTCTCCATGGCCTCCTCCCAATACCTTCTTTATTTCTCACTACAGGACCTTCCTCCTGATGTCTGATAATACTTGTCCTTCTCAGTCTTCCAGTAGTATACCTTCTCACTCTCAGCTTCTTGCGCCTCTTGCTCCCAGCCCCTCACACGCACGCCACAACTGAAGTGAGCTCCTTTTTAAACCCAGGTGCCCTGAGTAGCCTGCCGGGCTTAATTGATTCTAGCAGCTTCTTGATTGGCTGCAGGTGTTCTAATCAGCCTGTCTGCCTTAATTGTTTCCAGAAAGTTCGTGATTGTTCTGGAACCTTCCCTGT